CCTCCCCGGAGGGGCGCGGACCCCCGCCGGCTTGCGAGCTCGCCTCACAGCGTCGCCGGGAGAGTCAGTGCGATGCACCCCTCACCGGCAGCCGGCTAGAGCCGTTCGGAGCTCAACGCGCCTGCACTTGCCATCGGGTTACTTTTCAGACGATCTGCAGGAAATAATGCCAGAGAAGCACCCCGTGGCCAGCAGCGCCGAGCGGCAGGGCCTCTGCTCTGCGCGCCGTGAACCCGCGAAGGCCGCGGCCTGCGGGCGGGCGGGCGGGCGGCTGCCGCCCCTCACCGGCAGCCACCTAGAGCCGTTCGGAGCTCAACGCGCCTGCACTTGCCATCGGGTTACTTTTCAGACGATCTGCAGGAAATAATGCCAGAGAAGCAACCCCTGGCCAGCAGCGCCGAGCGGCAGGGCCTCTGCTCTGCGCGCCGTGAACCCGCGAAGGCCGCGGCCTGCGGGCGGGCGGGCGGGCGGCTGCCGAACCCGCGTGTCGGAGTTTGGTTGGATCCTCAAACACACCGGGTGTGGCTGTGGACAGCACGCAGGGAGCACGTGACTCGGCGGCCCGCAGGCGCACCTGCAGGCTACAGCGTGTCTGACTCGCGGGTGTCAGGGCAGAGTACCCCAAAAGGGCCCACCCTCCCCGACGCGTTTTTTGGAAGCAAACCATCCCCCCAAAGTACCCGAACTCTGCCCATATTCAGCAGCACAGGCTTGTGCGCTGGCCGGGACGGGACTGCCGCCCACCCCCGGACGTTCGGGGGATTTTAGGGTTTGGTCTCGGGGCGGAGTCAGGAGGGAAAGTCCTGGAGGTGACGGCCTTGCTATTCCAACTGGGGCCACCAGAGGGAGCGCTCTCCCAGAAGACGCCGCGTCCTCCGCCGCGACCTAGCGCCGGCGGCCGATAAAGGCAAAGGCCCATTGAAACAGGACACTGTCACCGACACCGAGAGAGAGCGCCTCCTTCCTTACCCCGGAGGGACTCCCTTTCGGATCACGACGGCACCTGCTGCCTCCAGGTCAGTGGTCAGGCCGAGGCTGGGGGAGGGGAGTTGACTGGACACCACGCGGGTCAGTGTGGCCTCCGCTGTGGTCCTCGGGTAACCCCAGAAGCGCGGTGTAAGGGTACCGCAGCCAGCTGGCTGCGCTGAGCGCTCTGTCCGCGCCGGAGGGCAGGTGTCGCTGTCCAGCGCTGCGTAAGGACCTCGGGAGGTCTGAACCTGTGAACACCGGTGACACCCCGCTACCTGGGAAACGTTGTCCGCAAACCAGAAGGAATACAGGACCGACTGGACCGCCTCCCGCCACCGCCCCAGTTCCTGGAACATGCGGGACAGACCTAAAGGTCATCTCTGTCGCGAGGGGACGGGAAATGGTGCTGTTGTTTCAAGTGTCACAACGCAAACATTATTTTAATCTCTCTGCCCCAGCGGCATGGTGCGACAAGGGTTTATAAAGTTATTGGTGGGATTAAATGGTAAGACAAGCGGGCCGATGCGGACGGCATCTGGGGAGGCTGGGCTGGGGCCCTGGGCGATGCCATGCCTTTGAAAGCTGGTCGCGCTGGGGAAAAAAGTGCATTTGGCCTTTGAAAAATTACACACATAATTAAACGCTTCCGGTGGCACATCAAAAGTCCTCAAATAATCACTGAGGCCGAGGACAAAGTGTGACCGAGCTGGAGAGCGGCCGTAGCCTCAACCTTGGCGCGGATCGATTGTTCTGGAATCCACCTCACTGTAAGCCCGACTGGAAGGGACAGGGCGCATGCGTGGAGCGGCAATGCCGGCAGCGGGGTTCCTCTCGCTAAGCATGCCACTTGTCACTACGGGCAGCTGTCACGAAACCTGAGAATGCTGACGATGCGTCCCCCTCCTGGCCAAGGGAGAAATCGTCATTCAGCCGCTGGATGCCCGAACCACAGGGCAGGCAGTGGAGTCCCCGAAAACGAATCCCAAATGTTCCACTACAGTCCCCGAGCCCAGGTAATGTACGCAGATGTTTCAAAGGACTCTCCTTGGCTGCAAATACAGCCGACTCCCGTTTTTCATGGTGGTTTCCTTCTACAAAGTCACCACCAACGCCGATTTGTGGAACGCTAAGCCACCGTCGCTGGAGGAAATGCGGGGTTAGATTCCTGTGCGCCTGTGGCCATGTTTTCATCAAGCAGGCAAAACATAAGCATTTGCAAATCACACATCTGGTAATAGGCATCCAACGCATGTAAACAGCTCATACACCTCAAAAGCAAAAAAATAATAATAACCCAATTTAAAAACATGGGCAAAATATTCAAATAGCCAATCGGTGCATAAAAAGATTCTCAGCATCACTAATTATCAGGAAAATGCTAACCCAAACCACGATGGAATGTCACCTCACACCTGTCAGAACGGTCGTCATCAGGATGGCGAAATAAGTGTTGGCAAGGCTGTGGGAACAAGGGAACCACGATGTACCGTTAGTGGGACTGTAAGTTGGAGCAACCACCATGGAAAACAGTATGGAGGTTCCTCGAAAATTAAAAATAGAGATGCCATGTGACCCGGCACTTCCTTCTGGGTGTTTGTGCCAGGAAAACAAAAACACTGTTAAAGAGATCTCTGCACCCCCATGATCACTGCGGCATGCTTTACAATAGCCAACTCACACACACACGCATGCTCACACACACACATGCACGCGCACACACGCGCATGCGCACGATGGAATATTCAGCCATGAAAAAGGATATCCTGCTATTTGCAGGAACAGGGAGGTACCTCGAGGGCATTATGATAAGTGAAATAAGTCAGACAGAGAAAGACAAATACTGTACAATTTCACTTATATCTGGAACCAAAGAAAAAATCATAGAAATGGAGATCAGTTGCCAGAGGCGGGGGTGTTGCGCGGAAGAATAATGAAGGGGGTCGAAAGGTATAAACTTCCAGTTACAAGATGGACAAGTCCAGAGGTGTGAGGTGGAGCTTGGCGACTAGAGTTCACCGCACTGCATTATATACTGGAAAGTTGCTTAGAGGGTAGATCTTAAATGTTCCCATCAGGAGGAAAAACAATTTGTGACTATGTGAGGTGATGGGTGTTGCCTAAACTCATTGTGGCCATCATTTTGCAATATGTACATGCATCAGATCGTTATGTTGCACCCCTTAAACTGGAAACGAAAGTAGCCTGTTCTGTGTTTCTGTTTAAAGAAAGACAGAAACGAAAGTAACCTGTTCTGTGTTTCTGTTTAAAGAAAGACAGAAACGAAAGTAGCCTGTTTTGTGTTTCTGTTTAAAGACAGAAACGAAAGTAGCCTGTTCTGTGTTTCTGTTTAAAGAAAGACAGAAACGAAAGTAGCCTGTTCTGTGTTTCTGTTTAAAGACATCTTATTTAGTATATTGGAGATTTGTTAACATTGAGCTCACGGCCAGCAGCACCAACTCATGCCTGAACGCTCATCCGACACGTGTATCTTCATGAGGCATGTCCCAGGCTTCCTACACTTAGGCACACTAGACAGCACTTCGGCATTGTGCCTGGCGGCTATTTTAAATAGCAAAGTCATCAAAAAACAACAACAACAACACAAAAATGTAAAAATCTTGGCATCAAATAGGCCATGAAAAGCATACTTGGCTCTGGTAGAGTGTCTTCTTGGTTAAGCTCAGCTGGAACGTGCATGCTGGGTGACTCTGTGCACGTCCACGAGCAGCCGTGAAAGACGGGGCTGGGGGTTGGTCCCGGAGGGAGGCCGTGGGAGGCGACTGCAGGCAGGCTCGAAATCCCTATGGGATGAGGGGACACAAAGAGAACAGATGGGGTACGTCCAGGAGGCAAGTGTGAGGTGTGAGGAGAGGGAGTCCCAGAGGGGGAGGGGCAGAAGGGCCGGGTGCCTGGCGCCCACACTTAGGTGTGCTCTCCATGGCGAGTTCTTTCTTCCCAACACACCATGTGCCCTGCTCACTCTCAAGACTGGCTCTGGGCAGAGGGGGGTTGGGGCAGCCGAGACACCTTGGGCTGAAGTATGCGTCGCGCAGCCAGACCTTGGATGAGGCTCTGAGCAGGGCTGGTTCCGGGAGGGCAGGACAAGCAGCTGGATCTAGAACACGTGGATCCCCAGGTGTCTCCCTGGACGCTTAGGGTCATAGTGCAGAGTGCACTGAGGCCACACCCCCTCTGCACTGCCCTGAGCCCTCCTGCTCTCACCCACCATTACACACACACGCGCATGCACACGCACACGCACACACATGCACGCACGCACACATGCACATACACACAGAGACACACATGCATGCACGCACATGCACACGCGCGCACATGCGCGCACACAGACACACATGCACACACATGCACATGCACACGTGCATGTGCACACACATGCGCACACACGCACACACGCACGCGCACATGCACACACGCGCAGCACCTGGCCAGCCTAGGGGGGCTCCCACACCTCGTTTCAGAGTCCTGTCTACCCCCCATCTCTCTCTCTTCCCATTCGCTCCAGGAGAAGGCTCCAGGTCTGGCCTCTCTGCCACCTCCCCTTGCCCCGGTTCGGTACGTTGCCGCTTACAGGGACTGTCAGCAGATCAAAGGTGCGAGCGACCTCGTGAGGCTCGGCATGAGCGAAATTGTGAGCAGGCAGGGTTTCCTCAAACCGAAGGAGAAGTTCCGGAACAGTGCGGGGCTGGCCAGGAAGGAGAGGGGGCAGTCAGGGGACGCCTGCCCGTTCACGCCCAAGGCACGCAGCTCGTTACTGGAAACAAACTTAGACTGCGCGGGGAGAAAGCGCGGTTCGAGGGTTTTCTATCCAGCCAAACCGACGAGCTATTTTCCACCTCGACAAATTCAGGGAATTTTGTTCCCAATCGCTGTTCCTGAGGAATCGACCAGAGAAAAAGCAACAGACAACCAGATTGGTGACAGACACGTCGCGGTGAGGACCGGCGAGGGTGGTGTAGGCACAGGCGGAATGACAACCAAGCGGGCGTCGGAGGGCGAGCTCGTCTGACACGCAGGGAGCGCGTGCTCAGGCCGCACAGACACAGCGCAGCCAGGAGCGCGTGGGGCGACTGCGCACCCGAGCCTCGGGTGCGGTCAGGAATTAGGTCGCAGGACGCGTGGCACTGGTAGCCTGTCGGGGTGGAATGAAACGATGAGCGATTATGAGACATCTAAAGTCTAAACGTGTCCAGCCATTTCATTTCGTCCTGTGTCCCCGGATTCTTGGTGTAAACGATGAAATGTAAAAACAATGTGGCCTGATTTAGAAACGGGGTCTTTGCAGGCGCAGTCAGGGCCAGGACTGAGAGCACCCTGAATGAGGGTGGGCCCCCCAACTCTGCAAGACGGTCCCCATAACGGACAGGGAGAGGACCCGCAGAGACACAGGAGGCCACGCGAACACAGCGGAGATGGGAGCGATGCGGCCGCAAGCCGCGGAGCACCTGGAGCCCCCAGACGCGGGGAGACACGAGGAGGCTCCCCCCGCAGACTCCTCAGAGGGAGCGAGGCCCAGTTTCAACATCCGCCTCCAGGCCCGTGGGAGAATCCATTCCCGTTGCTTCAAGCCCCCTCATTTGTCACAGCCGCCCCAGAAAACTCACACGATCAGCGTCACTATGGCTGGGCCTCGGACATCATGACCTGAGCCCGTCGCAGGAACACTTGTCCCTGCTCCTCCTCGGGGCCCCTTCCTCCCTCTCCACTCCAAAACCCTGTTCCCCTCCCCCCGGGGGTGCAGAGAGACGAAGAGAGAGCTGATGATAGGTGAAGAGAGAGAGAGAGAGAGAGAGAGAGAGAGGGAGGGAGGGAGGGAGAGATGGGTGGGTAGATAGATAGATAGATAGATAGATGGATAGATAGATGGATAGATGGATGGATGGATGGATGGATGGATGGATGGATAGATAGATGATAGACAGACAGACTGACAGGGTAGGTAGATGACAGGTGGATGATCTAGAGTTTCACTGTCTACGAAGCCATATTTTTAAGTTACGTGAACGAGAGTGAGAAGCGCCACGTGGTCGAGAATCGGCTGTCTGCGACCTGCTGGGCTTTCCTGCTCAGCTCCGCGTCGCTGGCGCCCGTGTCCACACCTGAGACACTGTGGCTCATTCCTTGCAACTGCTATTGGAAATGGAACGCTTGGCTTGAGCGGGGAGGGGTCTCTGAGGAAACCGGGGGACTGGAAGGCCTGGTAACCATGGCGATTCCTGCATGGAGCGCTGGGGACATTCGCCAGGAATGACTCAATTTTGAGAGCTAATCTTCAGTCCCCTGCCCAGCTGCATCCCCTCCCCTGCGAGGCCTCCCCTGGACCAAGACCCCAAACCGAGTCGCCTCGAGAAGGTGAATGCTTGTCTTCCTGTCCATCCTGGAGTCTGTCCCTCTGGTGGCCAGACTCCAAGCATGTTCTTCGGGTCCCCACATCAGGGGACAAGGGCACAGTGCTCTGAAGGAGGGAGTGGGGACCCAGGGTTTCAGCGGCCTGGAGAGAAGGGCGTTGACAGGAAATGCTGAGTCTGGGAGCACCGGCCCACGGGAGGGGCTCAGCCTGCCACCAGCCCTCCCCGGCGCTGTCGCCTGCCCCGGCCCCGCTCGGCCAGCCTCCCTCACGAAGCCCCCTCCCACCCATGACCCATGATTCAGGCCGCTCTCACTCTTCCCCTCATTTGTTCATTTCCTCTTTTATTCATTCATTCAAAATGACCGATCTCTGCCGAGGGGCTGGCCTGAGAGGCCTCGTTCCACGGCCTCTGTCCAGCGAAGGGGCTCTGATCTTAAAGAACAAGCTCCCCACATGCCACCCACTGGGGAGGGGAGGGCAGGGCGGCCAGCCCTGGCCCTGCACATATGCCAGACCAAAGGCTGAGTGCTTCCTGGGCAAAGATGGTGTGACA